AAAGTACCTTCTCATGAAGACCTGTTTGGGTAGAGACAGACACATTTGTTCAGCCCTATTTTTCTCTTTTTCTTCCCCTCCTTCCCTCCCTCCCTCCTTCCCTTCCTCCCTTCCTTCCTTGTACAAAAATAAGTGAATTTATTTCTTCTAAGTAGAAAGATCAGACTATTTCATAAAGTTTTGTGAGGTTCTTTTGAAACTTATTTTGGATTGAGGGGTACATGTGCGGGTTTGTAATATAGGTAAACACATGTCACAGGGGTTTGTTGTACAAATAATTTTGACACCCAGGTATTAAGCCTGGTGCCCATTAGTTATTTTTTCAGATCCTCTCTCTCCTCCCACTCTCCACCCTGTGATAGCCTCCAGTGTGTTGATCCTCGCTATGTGTCCATGTGTTCTCATCATTTAGCTCCCACTTATAAGTGAGTACATGTGGCATTTGGTTTTCTCTTCCTATGTTAGTTTGCTAAGGATAATCACCTCCAGCTCCATCCATGTTCCTGAAAAGGTCATGATGTCTCTCTCTCTCTTTTTTTTTTTTAACAGATGCATAATATTCCATGGTGTATATATACCACATTGTCTTTATCCAGTCTCCTATTGATAGACATTTAGGTTGATTCTAGGTCTTTGTTATTGTGAATAGTGCTTCAATGAACATACTTGTGCATGTGTCTTAATATACCCAGTAATGGGATTCTGGGTCAAATGATAGTTGTGCTTTTAGCTTTTTGAGGAATTGCCACACTCCTTTCCAAAATGGTTGAAATAATTTACACTTCCACCAACAGTGTATAAACATTGCCTTTTCTCCACGAACTCACCAGCATCTGTTATTTTTGTTCTTGATTTTTCATCCAGCCTTATACCGTTTGACTATTATTTTCTTTGAGACGGGATCTCACTTGTCTGTGAATGTGGATTCTACTTATGTCTGAGACTTCCAGGGATTCCAGCTGTCTCAGTAGCCTATGTGTAAACTTTATGAATTTGTTAATTTTGAGTGTTTTCTTCTTACCCATTTTATGACTGTCACTTCTTGCACACATGTTCTGTCAGAGGTGACACAGTTTGTGTGTCTCATCTCACCTCAGAGGGACTTGTCACCCTCTTATATCAGTTCCTGTGGCTACCTTATTACCTCAGCTCTCTCATGATCTAAAAAAATGATAATATAGATTATTAGGCTTTTTCTTATTTTCAGGGTTAAAGTGACTTTCTCTTCAGCCTTTCTAAATATTATGTGGAGGTAGAGCTCTCCTTTGTTAATACTTTGACTACTGGTACAAAAATGCAGCATTGAAATATTTGAATTAAAAGATAATCCAGGGGCTAGCTGACTATGACTTGAAGGCTAAATCCAGCCCATGGCTCATTTTTGCATATCCTTTGAGATAATAATTTTTTTTTTTTTTTACATTTTAAACACCTTAAAAAAAAACACAACAATATGCCACAGAATCTATGTGGCCCACAAAGACTAAAATTTTTACTGCCAAGCCCGTTAAAGAAAAATCCATGACCCTGTATTAATCTAATATCTACTACTCTGCATCACATTAAGGCTTACATTTTTCATCCATTATTTAATTTATTTACTTAAAGATTGAAAAGTATGGATTACTTTC